GCAAACGAGTAAACGGTTGATGTAGGTGAGATCTTTCAGATGATGTGTACCGCTTTGTTATAACACCTTTTAGAGCGTTTTAACGATTAGCTGGATCGACCGTCACCATTAGGTCGCCTAGCTGCTCGGTGAGTTCCATGGGTAGACGAGATAACAAGCTGTGTAACTTATTTAAATCGGGTGTGACACCTTTATTAGCAAAATCTGACTCTAAGATCATGAACCATAAGGCAGTGTGCACTTACATAAACTCAGGAATTATTAGCGTATCTAAGTGAACAAACTGCTCGTTGCCAATATATTTTGAAGCTAAGCTCGTAGTAACCAGCCGAATTGTCACTTAATGAAAATTGATGAAAGAAGTCAAGAATAATCCAGGAAAATTTGTATTGGGCTCACCAAAAAGGTGACTACAATTCCAATTAGTGTCTCTAATGTAATGGCGCAAATTAATTCAGAACAGGAGCACCAATGTAGTGAGATTAACCGGCTAACGCTAACAGATTTGTACTATTTGCCAGACTACCGGAGAGTACTGTTCCCAATAATTGCAGAGAAGCCACGGAAGTAATGGGGCGAAGGTGCATGTGGTGTACACTGATCCAGTGTATTGGTTGTAAATGCGAAACCGGACGATGCGAAGCCAGCCAGGGAAGGATGTGGGGGACCGGGTGATTGACCGGCGTGATGAAACCAACAGTGTGTACGTTTTTGGCATATGTTGGGTCACGCAAACATATTCAACATAGCTTTCAGCGTTCTGCAACCAAACTCTAAGTGCACAATAAGATGATAATTTTATCTTGTAGCTTACACAACATACTCAGACAAAACTGGGGAGTCTCCAGACTGTTACACACTGTAGTGCTCTCGAGGGCAGGTCTGATTGACAATCCACCCAGCGTTTTAACGAATATCTTTCTAAATGGCTATCGCAGTCCAGGACTAAAAGAAGCTGAATGATATACTGCGCCAAAACTGCACCCATGACACAGAAAGAAACACCAGAGTTAACTATTAACAATGAACAAGGATGTATCACGGGTTAAAAAGCAAGTGGTTGACTGACTGCCTTAATATGTTTGGGTTGAAAACCACCAAGTCAAGCGGTTTGTGCATCATTTGTTTAGGCGTCTACAGAGTTAAATCCGTTTCTAGATAATGCTAGTTTAAACTAAAAATAATGCAAAACATGCAGAACAAAATGGGGTGTAGTGATGGTTGAAGTAAGTGTGAGAACATGGTCGCTCACTCATGCACCATCTCCTTTGGTTCATGTGACATATAAATCCGGTAGACTGGCATGATTAATGTATTCTGCAGTAGCACAGCTTAAGTAACGAAGTGCTGGGACCCATAACAACATCCAATCGTTTTTTGTAAATACTACTGTGAGGGTTGAGTCAGCTGTATTTTCAGAGTTCCAGGGTTGGTAAACCGGAGGAAAAAAGTAATTCTGTCGACATTCTAGACCACTGTATTGTTCACTATGTTAGGCAGTTACCTCTGAGCTCAGTGTAGCGGCTAGGTTTCAGCAATTAAGAACAAACTTGGTTGAGGTCACACAATATTCGGTAGCCAAATATGAGATAACCGCGTAGAGTTCGGTAGCGTCTGCTGAAATCTCCCAGTAACTACAGCATTTGCTGGTAACTGTAACTGCGTGGACGTTTGACATTCTATGTTGCCGTGCGTTGTGGTGCCTCCAGCAACTCTAGATCGCGTTGTAACCAGGGTTGCCAAGTTTGGGTGACGTATGCAACGTGAGGGCGCAAGTCGGAGTGATACGTCATTGGGAAGATTGTTTGGTCAAATTTCTCGAATGTTCTTCGCATCAGGCCGACGGCCGAGTTGCCTCGTATAGCGGATGCCTTAGACTGTTCGAACAATTGTGGTCACTTTGTACGAGTACACCAAAGTTGCAATGCTGAAAAGTGGTTTGCAATATGTGTGACGCAAGTTAAGACGCGTAGTTATCCCTATGGTGAATGCTAGGGTAATCTATACTGACCAGTTCGAAATCGTGTCAAGATAGCGTGGCAATCTTTTGTTGTTGTCCAGTCGATCATCAGCGAAGAATAAGAAGCCGCAGTAATTGCTGCGTCGCTACGCGAGGCCCTAGCAGGGAGCATTGTAACACACCACACTCCACCTCAATTGCGTCGTAAATGAAGTCACGTACTTTCAATCCCAAACGACCTTTCTGTAAGCAATTGCCTATGCAACGTAGAAGCTGGTTTCCAATGCTATAATACTGAAAAGTATGGAGGAGAATTCGGTGTTCTTAGCGATCAAATGCTTTTGAGTATTCCAAGCAGATGATATCAACACCTGCTCCACCATCGACTGCTTTTGGCCAGCTATGGCATGAAATTAACAGGTTCGCAATGCATGGGCGCTTTATGTGGACATTATGTTATTCCGGGCCTATTATGCCTTGATTTTCCAGTTATGCATCAGTCAATTTGCGGTGCTTGATTCCATAAATTTTAGAAAGCACAGGAATAAGTTTTATAGGGTGAAAATTGGCAGGGTCCGTGTTATTACCTGCGTTATGAAAAGGAGTGACGACTCCTCGCTTATATATTATTAGTGGAAGTTGGTTCTCCTCCAGGCATTGCTGATAGAAAATGACCAGTGGCTACTGCCTCTAGAGCCTACTGCCTTATGGACTTTAAGAGAACTGTGAGTATGAATGGATAACGGTTTCTACAAACAAGTTTATGCAGTGAAAATGCTGTTTGATAAACCCGTGGGTGGAATAAGCATTCATTCCTTCATTATACACGTTAACTAGAGGTGCAAAACACCACAGCTATTGTTATGCATTACATAAAAGGAAAAGAAATTAAATACAACAGTTGCATGCCAGCCGAGCTACCAGCAACGGATGGGCATCGTTCCGGAAAGATACCAGCCGGCTACTAGGCAACAAGAAAATTCTTGTGTAAAATTATATTACGCTACGAAATAATATCGTGGTTGGAAGGATAGGCTAAAAGGAATGGGGATGCACAAAGAAACTCACAGCAGGAATGCCACTGAGGTCGACTCCTTGTTATGTCAGAAAGTGTATCTAGCCAAACGTGTTCATCGTCTTTTGGACCCCAACTAGGGAGCCGCGAAGCGCCAACCTAGTCCAGCTCCGAAGTGAGGGCTTTCATTCCCCTTGACCAAGTCATCGCTTGACCACCCATCCTCTTCTTCCATCCACACCCTCGGTGAACAAGCAACGCACGTCGCGGAAGTCGGTCGGCTGGCATGCGCAACACGTGGCCGAGCCATCGGAGCCTGGTGCGTGAAATGACGGTGCTGAGCCGTTCATTTCCTTTAACTGTGTCGTAAACATAACGTTGAACACGCTCATTACTCAGGCGATGTTCCCACCAGATGTGAGTCAAACTGCGAATGCACCGATGGTCGAACGTAACTAGCCTCTATACGTCTGCCGATCTTAGGGGGCAGGTTTTGCAACCGTACAGTAATGTCGAACGTACCGCTACATTGTAAACTCTAAAATTCAGCGCGAGAGTGATGTCGTGCCGCTGCCATAGGTGGCGAAGACTAGCAAAAGCACTTCGAATTTTTGCTAAACGGTTCGGGATCTCATCTTCAGTCCCCAGGGCCCTGATAAAACTTCCCAGTTAGTTGAATTTCCGAACGACTTCTAGCAGATCCCCACCAAGGGTCAGTGCAGGAAACGAACCCTGCCAAACTTGGAGGAAAGCTTTGTATTTCGATGGTGCAATGCTAAGCCTGAAGCAGCTGACAGCCAGTGCTAATCTGTCCAGTGCGGCTTGTCACATCTGGGAGCTGTCACAGATGAGAGCAATGTCGTCTACATACTCCAAGTCAAGTAGCACTTCTCCTGGGAGTAGATCCACATCTTCCAAGTCATGTCTGTAAATGCAATCTCCATGACTTCGTCAGTAGCGAAGTTGAAGAGGACTGGTGACAGCGGTCATCCTTGTCTCACACCGCTGGAGATATTGAAGGGCCACGACAGCTTGCCGTAAGCCCTCACTCTGCCCGTGCTACGCTTGTATGATGCACAGATATTATTTACATATTTTTCGGGCACACCTTTCCTCAGTAGACAGTTACAAAGGGAAGATTGATCAACCGAATCGAAGGCAACTTTGATGTCGAGGAACACGACTACGGTGGGCCGCCAATATGTGTGACGGTTCTCCAACAATTGACGCAAGGTGAATATGTGGTCGATGCAGCCATGCCCCCGACGAAACCCGGCTTGCTCCTCATGGATCTGACTTTCACGAGCGCCCGTCAGTCTGGGTGGAAAAATAGAAACAGGAAATTATGTGGGCCAGTTATCTTCTGGTACGTATGGGAAAAACGAAATGGCGAAAGATTGACTGCTTCCATCGCTGCTCGCTTGTGCCCGTCAATTGTGACCAGTGCTGGGATTCCGGGCTCCACCTTAAGAAGGTCATTGACATGCCTACCTAAGAGTTTTCAGTTCGTGCAGAATCGCTTCCTTAACTCCTACGTAACCTTGTCCTCCTGGAGCAATTTCACGCAAAGTTTACCCTGTGCCACGTATGCAATCCTTGTTTTGGCTTTTGGAGGGTACTTGTGTACTCACCATACAAATCCCTCTTGGGCATATACTTCCGTGTTCTGCTCCACACAAATGACTTGCTTTTGACTTATACCAGCCAAATAATTTAAAGGTCAGTTTCGTCGTGTTGGTGTCTTGTGTATCCATGGCGCTTGCTATTGTGTCACTTGTCTTGCGAGACAAAAATATGACCGTTTTTACCCTCATTTTTCTTTGCATTTACTACCGTTGATTTGGATTTCATTTTCGAGGCACCTCACCATAGCCTTTACCACCAAAACAGCAGCTTTGGAGAGCTTGGCGTTGCCGTTGGGATTGATTTTATTAAACAACCTTCACCATCATTTTGTAATAATTATCAGCGATAAAGTTGACCGATTTTATCCACCGTTATTTATTGCGTTGTTTTTTGTTGCAGTCGGCGAAAGAACATGGCGTGCACGTGGCGTTCGTGCATATGGGTAATACGAAAATTGAGGTAACCCCAGTCCAGGAAGGGTAACGAAATTATTTGTTTAGCTTATCAGCCCAATTGATGAGAACAGTCCTGTGACCAAATTCCTTGAAAGAAATAAGCAAGGGGGCTTGCACCATATCTGCATTGAAGTGAGCCTTTTGGTGTATTCCCAGGTTTCTTAATAGCTTATTTTCATGCATTTCTCTTAGGTTTGGCTGAAGACCATGTCTGTTTTGTATATGCATTCGTCATCAGTGATACTGATTAACTCTTCATCATGCAGAGTTATCTTGTTAATATGGAATGCTGATTGGTACTTACGAAGTGCATCCAATTCAAGTACTGTTCTTATAAGCACTTATAAGTACTCGATGAGGTGAACTTCATTTTTGACATCGTCTTACGGATGCGCTGAAAGACACAAACGTGGTAAACAAAACGAGACACTGTAGTAGTCGTTCACATAGCGTACCTATGACCACGGTTGGGTCAAACGATACGCGTGACTGACGAGTTAAGCTGGTAATATGATAATACAAGTTCTGATAAAGCACAATAACAACTTGTGAATACGTGGAAAAAGGCAACATGTTGATAGATTAATGTGGGGTAATTGAACACATACATTTAGAGTATTGGAAGTATAATTACACAAACTTAACTAGTTGAAAACAATCAAATCAAGGAGATATTATCTCGCTAAACCGTGACATATAGAGCAGGGATGTCCAACGTCTGGCCCGCTTGTCAAATGCGGCCCGCGTTAACATTTCAACTGGCCCACGGCCTCGTCATGAAATAAGAAAGAGTTGGAGACTTTTTCATAAATGTGTAATCCTTGTTATTATTTTACTACCAGACTGAATATGGCGCGACATATTTTAACCCCACAACCTGTGGTGCACCTTTTAAAAAGTTGGCACACTTCTGATCTAGAGCTATGCTTCATCCATCACACCATCAAAATGCAAGCCTTCGAAAATAGTCTAGGGAAGATAACAATAGAGCAGTAAAACCAGTGAAGATAATGCAATAAGTCAATAACTTAAACATTAAATTAAGGAACACTATAGGCAGGTTAAGTCTGAGAGCACAAAATCTAGCTTCCGACCATGAACAATTTCCAATGCATGCGTGGATCACTAACCCTTTTTGGACAAAAAGACACTGAGATAATTGATGGCAGATGAACTAGGTATCAACTTATTACTCAGTCGCAAAAGTGAGGCATTAACAATAGACTGCAACTTATCAGCAAGAAGAAGCGAAACTACCGCATCATTGTATTTAGAAATGTTTCGTGTAAGGGACCTGTATGGTGATCACTTTAACAGATCTTTTAATCCACATTGAGTCAAAGAAGTAAAGAAGGCAGAAGCAGTACACCATAAAACGTAGTCCGCATTATGTTCATATCCAATAAGTGTGAGTCGTCGATGGAAACTTTTGGTACAAGAAAGGGAAAATGAAGACAAAGGGATAAACCCTGCAGAATACGACAGTCGGCACGCTTAGTTGGGTGAAGTGCGTTTGATTTGCAGTACAGTTACACAATGAATTCTACACAGCTAGATGAAATCTATCCCCATAGAACAGAGTAAGCAACGTTGATGGACCGAGGCTTTCGAAGCATTTGAATAATTAAAGATACGAGCCTTATGGTTTTGCATATTTTTATTGAATGCCGACGCCATGGAGTACACAATGCGCGGTACAGTATCTAGTGCTGAGAGCTGTAATCCATAAGCGAACGGACGCAAATCCTCAGCAAGAATGGCTGTGAATAAAAATGCGAGTTATACAGGCTTTCGAAGACTCCCAACAGCACAGATGTATATGTAATCGGACAATGCCTATGCAGAACCATCTTTGGCGTTGCTCTGACAGGTTTCCGAACTCCACGGATGGCAATCGCGGCGAGACACTGGTTGAAAATATCTGTTAACAACAAGATGTGTGAAGAAGCACTATACTTTAAAACGCATGAAGCCGGAGCATCCTGACCATTGGCGTTATTTGATTATAGGCTTTCGAATTCCCTGAATATGTTACCTCAATTAAATAGGATAGTTGGACCAGAGCTAAAAAAAGAAGGCAGGCGGATGTGTTCGGTAAATTCAAGTTGAGCTCAGTATTATGTTCGCTAAATTCAATGCACACTCTCGGTCCAAGGTACTTTGGTTAATGAGCTGCTACAAATTACTCTTTCGAGCTTGTCATCCCTGATTAACTATAACCGCGATGTACAAATTATTTCACTTCGTTCGTTGTTCTATTGATGAGGTTTCCCATTCTCTGCTTGTAAGCTCGCCCTCTTCGTTGATTTTGTTTTCAGCAAGGGTGAAGATAAGCTGTCTGCTCGTATGGAAATTCAAATGGGTAAATAAATGTTTACCCTCGATTTTCCTCTCGAGAGAGAAACACCGGCCACGACAAAATTATAGTGACTCGTAAGATGCTCACATTGAACAAAGGAATCGTTGTCGTTGAACATGTAGTTAACGGTTAAGAAAAGCATAACTTAGATCCTCACAATAATTTCCTTTGAACAGTTCCGCCGTCTTTAGTTATGAACAATGAAAAATAAACCAACTTAATCCGTACTAAGAAACATGTGCCTTATAAGTCCCGTTGGGATGTCCATCTAGAATTTCGTAAAGCTAACAAAAGAAGGCAGCCTGTACTTTCTCTAGGGAAAGCCAAGCCCAACATTTTCAGCGCTTTTATTGCAGTAGTTCTCTATCCCCCGTTGTTTCTACATCACAAACTTGTGACGTCTAGTAAAGCCAACATTTTTTCTCAGAAATGGAACCAGAAGATAAGGCTAAGTCACAAAATGCCGGCAATTGGGCGCGTCATCCTACCGTCTTCTAAAATAATTAGCATTGGTGGGGAAACGGCCGGATCGGGAAGGGCGCTCCTAAGATGGCACAAGTGAGAAGAAATTACTAATACTTCCCAGGAGACTTTTTTACTTCGACGGTTTCATCGAGTGGCCTTTCACACTTGTGGTCCTGCTAAGCTCCAGTAGAAGCACACACGATTTGGTTTGCACGCGATCAAGTAGTTCATTGTGCAGTCGCTTCGTATTGACAATACCGTCTGGTAAATACTCCTGCTTTTTCTTCAACACTGTTCACATGCGAGGTTACGTAGTCAAATGATGTATTTAGAGGCGCGAATTCGCGGAGTAAGATTGTGCTTTAGCCCTGGATACCAGGTTTGAGCTGTGCATTAGACATGAGGACAAAAAACAATGTAGAGCATCAGATGGAACATGAAGATATCCATGTGTCCGGATGCCGTTATCAACAGTGTAACTTGTCGTTTTCCAGCTTTTGATGTCCTTTCGGATTACCTAGTACAACCAAAGTCATCCTAAACAATGAATCACGTCATGTTCGACGAAGACTGACGCAGTACATGCGCCTCTAGCATAAAGAGATTGATGCATTGGTATCGTACGGAGAGTACCTAGTATGTACTCGTGTCAAATTGCAATGGTTTTTACTTTGTCCATCATTTCATTTTCCATAGGTCGTACTGCATAAGTTACTGACTGATGTTCATCATAATCTTGTACCACACCTTGCTACAGTCAGCGACAGCTAAGAAAACTCGATCAATAATTTTTACGAGGTCTGTAGTCGGTGTAAAAATAAAATCGCGACATGCGACACGCTATGCCCGAGTTGCATCGGATTGGATGAGTGTTTTGATCTCTGATCACTAATTATCGTCAAGGGAGGAACTTCTTGATCCAGCTCAAGACAGGATCATCGTTTTCGCGATACTGGAGCATGGACGGGAGAACTTGAGTAACTATACGGTCAAATACAAAAAGTTCCAGGTGGGCCACATCAACTCTCCAGCGTATGCTGATCGGTCAAACTATGCATCACTGTTAGCAAATTCGCGGTACACCTTCACTCGGCGGAAGCGGCTCTAATTGAGAGCAGTATTGTCGAAGTTTCCAACTTAGCCACCATCACACGGGCAACGATGGGTTCGGTGACCTCAGACAGCACCGGAGAAAGGGACACTGAGCGGTAGTTTTCAGGCTCAAGGATGTCTCTTCCTTTTGTGGATTGGAGTGATTATTAAAGGTTTCTACATGGTAGGAACGTCCATTTGATCTAGACAGCGCAGAACAAACCAAGTCGAAGATTTCTAAGCTTTTGTTGTTGTTTGCAGTGCATTTTGGAGAGTGATATCCATTGCAAGGGAGCTGTGATTGCGTAGACATCAGCTTTTATGATAAGGCTTCGGAGATAAAATAGTATAGCTGAGTTCTGAAAGCAGGGAAACGCAAGCAGGAAGATTGCATGACGGTCAAACCCGCTGCAGTGTGGGAATATATTGACTCCGCGTGGGATTTACTGCGTATGTGTTCGGGTTTGTTGCACCATCTGTTTGCAAAGTAGTGGAAATCCTTGCCTTACTTTGCGAAGTCCATTGGTATGCTTATACAGTAGTTTAGCACTAGCATTGAAGGTCTTTGCCATTTTGTGCCGACGAATCAACTTGTCTTCTTGTAGCATTTAAGTACTTCGTTACCTTGGGTTGCGTTGGTGTCCCAAGTATCCAATACTGGGGAAAATCTATACACTCGCTATGCTGCATCTCGTACTGTAATAAGTATACGCATCCTATTGCTTACAAAAATAAACGGTTTTGGGCAGAATGCAAACTCCATGCTTTAACGCATCTTTGATCACCCAATCGAATCCGTTGACGAATGTCATTCAGGCGACTTACAGGGGGTCTTCAGCAAAGAACAACCGGTTAGTGGCCCTGACAAGGGCGTGCTGGTACGCACCATTCCAGTGTGGGCACTTCGATATTCCGCATAGCAGATGAAGCTGAAACGGATGGCTCTATGATTATTGGGTCTAAAAGACAGTCTACAGCAAATATGTCAATCATAACTTTTTGCTTGATGAACACCACATCAAGCGGAGATAGCTTGCTAAATATTTTGCACCGAGTGGATAAAATGACATGATTATGACGCGGAACACGAGTACTGAGCTTCTGCAGAATGGCTATCAATAGTCCACCGACAGTGGCCGAGTAGTCTAAAAGGACGTATATTTAAACCAGCCGTAATGAAGGGGGTGAATATATTTCCCAAGTGCGCCTTAGTCCCAGGGTGCGAATAAGTGTCTTTAGTAAAACCAGTACAAATTGTCTTCAAAACGCATAATATGAGTTGCTCCAAGGAGTACGCTTTGCATGGAAAATAATTGCGTTTGGTTTGTGTAGACAAAATCTGGTTGCGTGATAAGGTTGTGCGTGTCACTAGAATTGTCCTATAGGGTCGAGCTCAGGACTAGCCTTCTACAAGCCAGTGGGTAAGTGTCAGTTCTATTTTGAACCCTTTTCAAGTCTTGTATAGTAGTAACCCCCGCAGATGGAATGCTCGCTTTTGTTGAACTAGTTTGTTATATCACTTAGCTCTGTCTAAACCAGATAAGCTAGAATTCTTACTTAATATGTTCCCATCCTTGGAGTATTCAGTACCAACTATTTTGTAGGTGGACCACTTGGGCAACGCCATCGACGGAATCAAAGCAAAGAGCCTTCGGTTCCTCACTCCGGAAGCCAAGATAGGGGCTTGTGGTGTCCCGGTGATATTCATGCATCCGAAGGACGGCTTTGGTGTTTTGACGGAATTAGAACAAAAACATTCAGGGGAGAAACACTAATCTGATTATATCGCCGAGTCTAAATTTCGTACCGTCTCCCGGTATTTCGAAATGGCGGCATCCCAATTCTCCTCATGACTCATGCTGTCTCTTGTGATTGTACTTTCCCCCTGGTATTCTGTGCTGAATTTTCACTCTCATCTTTTACATTCTTTTTGATAGTTGATTAAAAGATGGTGATAAGGTTAACATGAAAGTTGTTTCTATATTGGCCGATAGACCGCTCTGCTGTTCTCAGTGCTCCGATCATGGTTCACTGCTATCACCTAGCTTCTCAAGGTACTGCACATATTTGCTGTGCGTTACAAAATATGCTCTGGAAAAATGCCGAACAAGATGTGAATAACTAAACTTTTTAACTGACACAAATAGAAATGGTACACATGATACCAACGGATCCGCAACACGCAATTTGCACGCATGTGCGTTGGTGTTTCAATGAATTACTAATTGATTTGCTTCAATCCAGACGAAGTACTGGCGCCTAGAGAAGAAAGAATCCGCTCTACTTGATTACCAGGCTATATCGTGCCGCAAACTCGTGTGACTGTGGCCGTCGCTTCCATGCTGATTCCCCTGGAGAATTTGGTAACTCAGGTAATTACATGACAGAGTGGTAGAAGAAATTGATGTTAAAAATTTTAATTTGACACCATCCCAATGGACGCTTGCACATGTACATCTCAAACGGTTTAAACAGCATGATAGTTATATGCTGCACGTGAAGAAATAGGTCAGTCTCTGTGGCACAACCATATGAGGTAATATATGTTGATTGGTTAATCTACTTCAATAGTTCAATAGTTCAGTAGTGTATGATGGGATAAAAAGCATTGGCTTTACAAGACCCATAGAATGGTAAATGCAAAATAAATAAAAATCATTAGATTCCGACATGGAACTGAAATGCCAATAGTCTAAACCTAGTACATCACACCACAATGTGTTGTTTGTCACTCAGAGGAATGTCTAACAATTGTTTGAAGGCTGTAATCTTCGGAGCCTTTACCACATGCGTTGGCAAGTCATTCCATTGTGAACGGATTCTAAGAGATTAAAAATATTTGCTACAGTCTAATCGGGAGTGTTGGATTATCAGCTTGAGGTTATGACCTCTCGATCGCTTATATGAGGCTAGGGTGAGCAGCGATTTGCACGGATGATCGCTTTCCGTTAATATCCGGTATGCGAGAATGAGATCTCCGCGTAGTCGTCGGTATTCGGAGGAAAACATTCCGATTAAACTGAGACGCACTTCATAATTGAGACCAGATAATCCGCGTGTTGCCTTCGTAGCTCTTCGTTGGGGCTAATCTAAGAGATGAATGTCCCGTTTTAACCATGGGCACCAAGACTGGACGGTATATTCGACGTGGGGACGGATATAGGAGTTGACAAGCATGGTATTATAGCATGGTATTATATCTCAAATCATGCAGATCAAACTCCGTCGGTTATTCACGTATCATATCCCTCATCGTTACAGTTAGTTCACAGAATATAAGCAGTTCAGATGGCCCTCTGCTTCTGGACTTCTTCCTACTCAGGTAGAATGGAACAAGCGTGTAGTAGGAGCAGAAATGCGGATGCTTAGTAAATCCCGTATGACGGCCAAAAAGAGAACCAGAACGGGGTGAACAGAAAACAAAGGCACAAATGAAAATCATTTCTGTGGACTCTCTATAGTGTTCACATAATGGCATGCAATAAAGGCCAAACTCAGTCGTGCAGCTTGATTCTGTTAGTACAACTTTCGTCACATTATATCGTCTGTCGAGACACACAAGCTATATCTCGTAATGTAGTTGGGTTAGGACAAGTTCAAGGCGATTTTTAAACACAAGTCAAGGTGGGGCAGACACAACGTAATTTGGGATGGCGTTCCGAAGCCGGCACACACGAAGAGAGTAATAGTTCCATAGACATTTTAGTTTATTGTATTGTATGACTAACTTGAACTGGTGACCACTCATATTCGTGTTATGTCTCAATTGTAGTAGGTGGTGGCAGACGTGGCTGGCGTTCCTTAGAAGATCGTAGGCCATAGTAAGGTCGTCACTTAGGCGCCCGTACCGGCCGCTGTAGCATATTAAGGTCCTCAATCTAAGTTGAGCAACCCTTTGACGTTCTTCGTGTCTCGTCGCTGTGGAGTCTCGTGTGCTGTAAAGATTTGCTTGTGCCAAGGCTGTCAGACTTGGATTGCGTATCCAACACGAGGCAACATGTGTGTTAAGCGAATGTGAGCAGACAATGAGATTAAACGGCCCGAATTCCAAGGCAGCAAGTCAACGTGTTGGTTCCAAATCTTTGGTGCCTTCTCAGCTTGTTCTGAGCAGCCAGAGGCGTAGCATAGGGCGGCGGAGCCGGCGGCATTTTTAGTACCGTTGAATGTTCGATACTAAAAATAAGGAACAAAATATCCGAATAAACTGAAGGCTGAATACTTTGATGTTACTCTGTATACTCAGCAACACATTAGCGTAATGTCACACCTGTGCAAATGTTCTTCCCAACGACCCCCGTATTTGTCCCACAATGGTCACTTTCACCAAGTGACCTCAGTGTCCCAAAAGATCATCCAATTTTCGAAAACTAATTTTTTTTACCCAGAGCAGTTTGTGTGGCCTTCATACGTCTGTTCTGTCCTCAGTCAGGGTGAAAATGTAGCCACCGCCCCGTGAGGCCAAAGTAGTTGCTACGCCAGTGTGAACAGCCCAGATCAGCCTGGAATAGTGTCCCAAGGTCACGCTCCTGAGTGACTGCTTGCAGGACATGGTCTCTAAGCTTGTATGCGAAGTCCGGCTGGTGGTGACTGTAAACCACCTTAAACCTCCCCGAACTGAACTGATGCAGATTGTGCAGTTACCACCCATACGCTCTGTTCAGGTCTCCTTGAAGTGCATCGGGATCTGCATGGTCGGCGATCGTTCGCCACATCTTAATGGCAAGTAATCTGAAGCAGTCAAATGTGTAAGCTCGTTACTGAACACCAGAAACAAAAACGGCCACAGGACTGATCCTTGTAAACGCCGCATTCGACATAACTCGGATTGGTCAGCGCACTTTGAACGCCGCCGTGCAGTTGCCAATCCTGTAGGAATTTTCTGCTAAACCCAAGGACCGGATCAACAACTTCATAGCTTTCGAGCCTGTGAAGCCGAGTATGGTGGTCCAGTCAGTCGAAGGCTTTGGAGAAGTCGAGGTAAATGACGTCTGTCCTTCTGCCTTCATCGGCCGCTTCCATCCAACTACAGCATACAATCAGTAGGTTGGTGGTGCATGTATGGTTCTGACGGAAACCGTATTGCTCGGCTGCTATGAAGTTGTGGCTTTCTGGATGGTCTACAAAAACCTCAGCGATGATTGCCTCCATCACCTTTGGGAGCACAGGGGAGAAGGACCACTGGGCGATGAGTAGCAGGTTCCGAGTGATTACCGCTTTTGAAAATGGGAGTGATTACGCCATATTTTCACATGGTAGGCACAATTTGTTTATCCAAGGACATTTGGAAGAAATGCGATAATGGCTCAGCCAGCGTTGTTGCTGCTATGTTCAGCACCCTCGGGTGAATTTGCTCGATTCCATGTAAGCTGTAGGTAAGTAGTGAGAACAGTTTCTTAAACACAGCTGTGGCAGTAAAATCGATGTTTGTGCGTGTTGAAGTTGTGGCTGACGAGGTGGGCATGCAACACTGACTATCAAGCACTTGCTGCTTACAATATTCCACACTGGTTCTTGCGTTCTAGTGAAGAATTGGGTGCAGCCATCAACAATTATCACTCGAGAACAATTGCCCTACAATGACTCCTCGCTTTGAAGTGCCGTTTAGAAAATCTGTGTGTTCATGATCCAACATCTTTCCTTACAACTGTGCAAACTTTAGCTGTTCCGTGTAAAATGAGCCGTCACGACAAGTAACTGACTAGCGATTAACATGCTGATGATGATATTACATGTTCTGGACTACATATTAGTCACGCGAGTGAGTGCACCTATAATTCCCGCTGTTCATCCGTCGTACTGAACTTAAGTGCACTTAGGAAAAGGTAGCTATTATCTAGGTAATATGCGAAATGGAAGGGCGAAGGTGCGTGCTAGAATTTGCATCAGAAATGACTAATCCTCTGGATTGATCTAGAAGTATGTAAGTTCAAGCTTGTTGGTACGGCAGTGTTTTAGTACTTGTTTCATTAAAAAATAAATCCACGCACAAAAACAATTAATTTGTAGTGCAGAATAGCTGCAACTGAGAGGTATGAATACAGCTTGTTACGGAATTGTAAACGACTACATTACCATGAGAACCGTAAGCTGTATGGGGATATCATACGTTCAGCTAAGCAACTTATCTGTGCCATCTGCCAGGGCTCTAAATACCCATTATTTGTCTACCCTCTTGCGATTAACTATGTAATGCTCAATCTTTTCATTGCAAATCGCAACATAGATATAGAGATTCATTACTTTCCTAGCCATGTCCAAGTGGTTCCCTTCCAACCCCCACTGTTAGATACGTTCATGTCTAGTTGTCCCATCACATACCAACTTAAGAGATTCTCCAGTCATAGGGGGGGGTCATCCACCGTATTATTCCCTTCATTCCCCATTGGCCTGGAGACAGACTAGAGCCACCATCCTATGCGGTGTAAAGCGAACTAACTGCGTAGTGTTGTTGGACCATTTGAAAGAGTTGATTTGCCTTCATCCTGCGCATTGCAAACACCCGGTTGCACTATAAATAAATAAATGATATATTTCTCGACTTGCGAGACACAGGCAGACTACGAGTCTGATCATGTGGTACAACAAAGTCGGGTAGTGGAGAGGGATATTCAGTGATCTATTGTGTTCACATAGGAATGTTTCAGTGCTAAATCAATTAAAAATAGTAAAGGAGTAGGAGTAGTAGAAGTTGAGAGTAAGAATAAAGGTGGATATAAACTGTCAGTTTAATTGGAGTAATACGACTCATCATGAAACCGCTCCCGGAGACCTGCTTCCACACTTCTCTTCCACATCTCATCTGGCCATGTGCTATTGTGGCGTTATATGTATACAGTTATGTGGGGGCCTGTGATATATATTAAGCTCTCCCCATCGTATAGCCATCTTTTATCTGATTTGTTTCCAGCACTGTGTTGTGGGGGCCTGTGTTCAAAGAAAAGCTCTCCCCATCATACAGCTATCTTTTAGCTGATTCAATTCCAGCACTGTACTGTGGGG